ACACTACCTGAGCAGCACACTCACTGCAGCTCCCCACACCTCCTTTAACACACACACACACTACCTGAGCAGCACGCTCACTGCAGCTCCCCACACCTCCTATAACTCACACTACCTGAGCAGCACACTCACTCCAGCTCCCCACACCTCCTATAACCCACACTATCTGAGCAGCATGCTCACTGCAGCTCCCCACACCTCCTATAACACACACACTACCTGAGCAGCACACTCACTGCAGCTCCCCACACCTCCTATAACCCACACTACCTGAGCAGCACCCTCACTGCAGCTCCCCGCACCTCCTATAACCCACACTACCTGAGCAGCATGCTCACTGCAGCTCCCCACACCTCCTTTAACACACACTACCTGAGCAGCATGTTCACTGCAGCTCCCTGCACCTCCTATAACACACACTACCTGAGCAGCACACTCACTGCAATTCCCCTCACCTCCTATAACTCACAATACCTGAGCAGCACGCTCACTGCAGCTCCCCACACCTCCTATAACACACACTCCCTGAGAAGCACGTTCACTGCAGCTCCCTACACCTCCTATAACACACACTACCTGAGCAGCACGCTCACTGCAGCTCCCCACACCTCCTATAACCCACACTATCTGAGCAGCACACTCACTGCAGCTCTCCTCACCTCCTATAACTCACACTACCTGAGCAGCACGCTCACTGCAGCTCCCCACACCTCCTATAACACACACTACCTGAGCAGCACTCACTGCAGCTCCCACACCTCCTATAACCCACACTACCTGAGCAGCACGCTCACTGCAGCTCCCCACACCTCCTATAACACACACTGATTGAGCAGCACACTTACTGCAGCTCCCCACACCTCCTATAACCCACACTACCTGAGCAGCACACTCACTGCAGCTCCCCACACCTCCTATAACACACACTACCTGAGCAGCATGCTCACTGCAGCTCCCACACCTACTATAACCCACACTACCTGAGCAGCACGCTCACTGCAGCTCCCCACACCTCCTATAACACACACTACCTGAGCAACACGCTCACTGCAGCTCCCCACACCTCCTATAATACACTACCTGAGGAGCACCCTCACTGCAGCTCCCTACACCTCCTATAATCCTGAGGAGCACCCTCACTGCAGCTCCCTACACCTCCTATAACCCACACTACCTGAGCAGCACGCTCACTGCAGCTCCCCACACCTCCTATAACACACACTACCGGAGTGAAAACCACTGCAGCTCCCACACCTCCTATAACCTTACACTACTCTGAGCAGCACGCTCACTGCAGCTCCCTACACCTCCTATAACACATACTACCTGAGCAGCACGCTCACTGCAGCTCCCCACACCTCCTATAACACACACACTACCTGAGCAGCACACTCACTGCAGCTCCCTACACCTCCTATAACACACACTACCTGAGCAGCACACTCACTGCAGCTCCCACACCTCCAATAACCCACACTACCTGAGCAGCACACTCACTGCAGCTCCCCACACCTCCTATAACCCACACTACCTGAGCAGCACATTCACTGCATCTCCCCACACCTCCTATAACCCACACTACCTGAGCAGCACATTCACTGCATCTCCCCACACCTCCTATAACCCACACTACCTGAGCAGCACACTCACTGCAGCTCCCCACACCTCCTATAACCCACACTACCTGAGCAGCACGCTCACTGCAGATCCCCACACCTCCTATAACACACACTACCTGAGCAGCACACTCACTGCAGCTCCCTACACCTCCTATAACCCACACTACCTGAGCAGCACCCTCACTGCAGCTCCCCACACCTCCTATAACCCACACTACCTGAGCAACACGCTCTCTGCAGCGCCCCACACCTCCTATAGCCTGACATTACCTGAGAGTGCACGCCACTGCAGCTCCACACACTACCTGAGTAGCACGCCACTGCAGCTCCACACCCTCCTATGCACACACACTCACTCTCTGCAGCCCTCACACCTCCTGTAACCCACACTCACCTGAGCAGCACGCTCACTGCAGCTCCCCACACCTCCTATAACCCACACTACCTGAGCAGCACGCTCACTGCAGCTCCCCACACCTACTATAACACACACTACCTGAGCAGCCCGCTCACTGCAGCTCCCCACACCTCCTATAACACACACTACCTGAGCAGCACGCTCACTGCAGCTCCCCACACCTCCTATAACACACACTACCTGAGCAGCCCGCTCACTGCAGCTCCCCACACCTCCTATAACACACACTACCTGAGCAGCCCACTCACTGCAGCTCCACACACCTCCTATAACCCACACCACCTGAGCAGCACACTCACTGCAGCTCCACACACCTCCTATAACCCACACTACCTGAGTAGCACACTAGGTGGCACAAGAGTTAATTATGTGGCGGCCGGGGCTGCACTTGCTAACCAGCTGCCACATTCAAGACAGTCTATAGGGCTCAATAAGACCCCATTTTACTGTAAGAGGGATTTTAAACCTACCATGACTTGATATGCCATGTGGCAGGTAGGGTCATGTCTACTAAGATGTCAAAACTACCAACTGGGCAGCCATTGTCTGTGAAATAATGGGGGGGGGGGGGTTGTATCAGTATGAGCACTCTGATTGGCTGGCTAGTAAGCCAATCTTTTCCCCATGTTGTGTGATAGCTGACATGGCGTGGCAATGCCTGTATAAAAACTTTTCCGAATATTTAGAGTCTGCGCAGAGCCCTCCATGGATTCATTTTATCGTGGCACACTTTTTGCAAATCAAATTTTATTTTATTTTCATTAGTTGTGATGGGAATTCTAGATTAACATTTGGCCGTTGTGAAGTTGAAGAACAGAAAAATTAGAAGAAAAAATACTTCTAAAGGTTATTATATATTGATACATGTAGCAGACTTATTGCTCCCCCTTACTCTTATTAAGATGTGGGTTAGGTAGCGACATTGATTGGCGACCCATATCCCAGCTAGGGTAGATTGTAATCTGTCTACGCCCATTACTTATTAAAAGGATGGGGCCTTTACCAGTGATTGGACAGTAATGGCTGCCCAGTCTCTAATTTTAAACACATATGCTAGTCACCAAAACAAATTTAGCTTAATGAAGCAGTTTTGGTGTATAGAACATGCCCCTGCAGCCTCACTGCTCAATTCTTTGCCATTTAGGAGTTAAATCCCGTTTATACAGCTTTAGTCACACCTTCCTGCATGTGACTTGCACTGCCTTCCTAAACACTTCCTGTAAAGTGAGATCTAATGTTTACACTTCGTTTATTGCAAATTCTGCTTAATTTAGAATTTCTTAATTCCTGCTCTGTTAATAGCTTGCTAGACCCTGCAGAAGTTTTAAAGTAAGTTACATCTGATTGAAAATTAAACCATTTTGTTTTTATGCAGGCTGTGTCAGTCACAGCCAGGGGAGGTGTGGCTAGGACTGCATAAACAGAAACAAAGTGATTTCACTCCTAAATAGATGAGAATTGAGCAGTGAGACTGGGACATGATCGATACACTAAAACTGCTTCATTAAGATAAACTTGTTTTGGTGACTATAGCATCCCTTTAACATGTTAGTAGACATGCCCCCGCCTACTGCATGGAGAGTAGGGCCATAGGGAGATTTTAAATCTTGCAGGCTTTTCATTTATTTATCTTACTCTGTTAACGCGAGGGCTTGTAGTGGTCAGTAGGCAGGCACCTGGCAAGACCCAGGTAAATGATCAAACTGTTCTTAAATTGGCTGCAGTGGTTATGGTGCCTGGAGTGTTCCTTTAAATGTATCAATTACAAGGAAATGAGGAAGAAAGGAAGACACTCAAACGCTGGTCTTTGAAATATTATGTTTGTCCAATAAAAAAGGTTATCATTGCATACTGCAACACTCTGGGATTTTGGCATGTTGTCTACTGGACTAATAAAGTTAATCCAATCTACAATCTATAATATACTGTATGATGTCCTATTAGTCTGAACTAAAAGTATATTTCTATTAATATTTCTATTGAGGTTTTTTTTTTGAGTATGTGCATCCTCCTTCGTTACTTTTGTGTTGTAATATTAGTTTCTTTGTTATAATAGTGTTCTCATTTCACCATAACCACTACAGCGTGCTATAAAATGCACACTGTATGATTCTATATCTTACTATATAGCAGAATGGATATTTCCGGATAGAGATATAATATTGTTTTAAGCTGGAAACAAAAACTTGCTATTGGTTTTCAATCTCCATCCTGATTGAATGGAGAGCCTTCTCAGTGAGTTAAATAATCCTTTTCTAAAACCTGTAGCAAACGCGACTGTTTACAAACATGATAACTTAGGACAAATAAAATAATATCTGGAAACATTATCAGCATTGCGTTTATTTAAATGAAGTATATAGCAAATCAGATTGGATAATAGTTAATTGATTGTACATAATACATATAGAAATATCATGGTATATAGATAGATAGATATAGACTTCCTCGCTGCCACGGAGCCTGGGAACGGTTTTTACTTTCTTTAGATTTAGCCTTCCTTGTCCTGGGTAATTCCTACAATCTCGATAATATCCAGAAAATATGAATTCCTACAATCTCGATAATATCCAGAAAATATGAATTCCTACAATCTCCGTGTCCTGATAATCGATTCCTACAATCTCCAATGTCCTGGATAATATCGATCTCTGAGTAATATTGATTCCTACAATCTCCAATGTCCTGATAATATTGATTCCTATAATCTCCAATGTCTTGATAATATCGATCTCTGAGTAATAACGATTTCTACAATCTCTGTGTCCTGATAATATTGATTGCTATAATCTCCAATGTCCTGATAATATCGATCTCTGAGTAATATCGATTCCTACAATCTCCAATGTCCTGATAATATCGATTCCTACAATCTCCAATGTCCTGGATAATATCGATCTCTGAGTAATATCGATTCCTACAATCTCTGTGTCCTGATAATATTGATTCCTATAATCTCCAATGTCTTGATAATATCGATCTCTGAGTAATAACGATTTCTACAATCTCTGTGTCCTGATAATATTGATTGCTATAATCTCCAATGTCCTGATAATATCGATCTCTGAGTAATATCGATTCCTACAATCTCCAATGTCCTGATAATATCGATTCCTACAATCTCCAATGTCCTGGATAATATCGAT